TCAGCCGGGACTGACGGTTGTCAGGATGATGATGACGGTCCTCAGATTTTTTCCTCGACCGTATTTTTTGGGCGTGTTTTCGTGTAGATGCTGCAGTGCACTTAGGTCTGTGTAGTCCCTGCGCGCGATGAAGAGACGGGGAGACGGCCTGACCCTTGCAGTAACGCGGTGTGTGGCTGCGGCGCCTGGGGGATAGAAGCGTTTCAGGCCGCTGTCTAACGACACAACTCTATGGCGATAGGCGATAGCAGTTCAAAAACCCACGCTGTGCGGAGGACAAAAACGCTTCCGCTGCCGTGCTCTTTCTAAAGAAAATTTTACAGTTAATATTAATCAAAACTCATTTGGGCATCCTGTTTAAATCAGAGACAGCACAACTGAGCAATTTGGATGACTGCTTAGATGCCAAATACTAATATTAGCATGGTCTTTGCAACCGTTACAGCAACAGGATAGTTGCATTTTATATCCCGCGTGCTCGTGCTTGGCAGAAGCGTAACCCCGGAGGAGCCAGGAGACGTCCTAGCCCGGCCAGCAGGCCGATCCTGCGACGGGCACGGATGGGGACACGCGGTACCGGGTGACTCCTCTTCTCTTATCCGTAACGTGCTGCACCCTCTGCGTTCTTCCTGTCTGTCTTGGGAAAAAAAAAAATCTGGGTGGGGGTTGTAAAGGACTTTAAAAAGGGGGCTGTTTCTTTTTTAAAAAGTGCATTTTTTTCCTTTGGAAATGCAGGCACCAAAAAGCAAACTAAGCCCCAAAATTAGAATACTCATTTCCTGATGGAAAAGTTAAAAAAAAAACAAAAATCCCTCCTCAGATTTCTCGGCACGTTTACATTCTTACGGTGGGGATATATGCATAGAAGTTAGCTATTAAAATAATGCGCCGTTGGAGATAGCAATATATTTATCCAAGTTCTGATAGTCTAAAAAGGAAGGTGTTGTGCCGTATGTTAAAAATGAGTACTTAAACGGTCCACTGAGGAGCTAGATCTCTGGAGACAGTACCTTCACTTAGATAAGGAGGTAGCTTTAAAGGTTTTCTGCTGAGGTCGTTTTAATCATGTGCATTTAAAAAAATATCAGATGACAATGCTCTATGTTGTCTCAAATTGGAAGTAATATGTGTCTAATGTTTTGTGAAAGTGCTAAAGTATTAATAGTTTCTTGGAGTTTAGGGGATTTTATTTTTATATTTTTAATCTTCTGTTCAAAGGAATCAGTTTTATAGACATGAAGCTAAGAATTCCATCTACCGTAGGTTTGTTTAAGCAGCGCAGAAGGACCGTATGTCACTGTGTTCGATTTAATTCTGTGATGATATTGTAGAAATAGTGAGACCTGGACCGCAGAGAGGTTCTTCTCATGCAGCTTTCTCTCTTCATCGGAGAAAAGAATGTCCCTTGTATATGCACTGGGCATTAAATCTGTGCCGTTTCCGCTGTAATAAATGTGCGGCGGGATGTTTCATTTTACGCAGGCTTGCTTCGTTCAAACTGTGGACTGCCCTGCGAAGGAGGAAATTCTCTGTCCTTTCTGTGCTGCAAAACCAGAGGTTGCCAACAATTTGAGCCAGGAAAAAGTGCTGAGATAGTCTCTGATCAAAAGAATAGCATTTATACATATTTGTTCAGAGTAAAACACTGGAAACTCCTCTGATGCTCCAGAAATGAAGAGAGGAGCGTAATAAAAGGAGCAGAATGTCCCCATGGCGGGTGACCCGTACCGACACACGGGAGAGTCCTGGCGGCGCTGGTGCCTCGTGGCCGGGCTGGTGCTGAGCGTTGGCGGGGCCGGGGGCCGGGGGACGTGC